TATGTTAACTAAAATGAATGACTATTAATGCTACTTGTTTGCTTTCTTGTTTTAGTAATAAGTACAAGCTGCAACTGCGCCAGACGTTACTCCACATATCACATCACTGAATATTATAATTTATTTAACTGTGTGGCCAAGATGGCCATTTTGGCGTCATTTTGTGTGTATTTTTGCTGCTTAAACACAACAAGCTGCACTTTAGAGCCCTGCATTTCAGCCCGAGCCCAACGGGCCCCGACTTATTTACGGCTTCGGGACAATTTTCACGTCATAGCTCAGACGCGGGCCGGGCATCGGGCTTGCTTCCTCCTTATTTTTATATTTTAGATATCCATCAATTATTATGGTGATGGAAAAAGATTTGCCGTGCTGGTGGAAACAACACGAGACCGTGCTACCGCGTCTGTCAAGAGCGGCTCGGATGGTGTTTAGTGTCCAGCAGCAGCAGCGAGTGCTGGAAGAGTTCCAGGTTAAAGCGCATGCAAAGCTTGCCGCAAAACCCCAGCAAGTAATTACCATGATGAATGTGTCGGGGCCAAGGGAAATAGAATATTCGCTGAGTTTCGGTTTATTTTTGTGAAGCGCTCCTGCTGACCGAGACGGCAGAAAGCGCATCCTGTTTGTTTTCTAAAAAAAAAGAAAAACGTATGCGGATACTGCGAGTGCACACAAATAAAAGTAGACCCTTAACAGTCCCGAATGATGTATTACTCTTACCTTTATGAGCAAAAACGCCAGTTATTTCCACAAAACGCAAGTGATCGTGCTGGCGACTCCGTGTCCTGCAAAGCACGCTTTAGCTTCTCTGCACAAATGATTGGATACGCGCCTAATGGCACACATTTATCTATTCTAGGTTAACCATTTAAACAAACATTGTGATATGCTTTTTTAAGCATTTTATATAGGCCTATAGATTTTGTGGTGATGATTTGAGAAGGCTAAATTGATCAAACAAAGGCTATTATTAATTCACTGTCCGCCACTGGCCTCTTGGTCGTTACTTTAAAAAACAAAAACTTGAATTTAACAAACAAAAAAATTTTCTAAACATATTTCTAAATTAACGTAATAAAGAAACGAAAATAAATATAACCACTTTGCCATTAAAACAAACCTGAACTATTTTAATGGCTACAACAGCAGCTGTATAATGGTGAAGAGAGAAAGAGAAAAAAAGACACGGGCTCCAGTCGGACTCGGCCGGTAATTCTGATAATCTGTCGGACAAAGGCCGGACAAGAGCATATGTTTGAGGCCCGTGCAGGGTTCTACGGAGCTTGTTTGGTAGCAAACTCAATTTGGTACTCGCAAGTCGGCTTTATATATGCACGCGCGCTTTGGATGTTGACTGCGCACCGCCTAAGGAGTGCGCGAGTACCGAATGGCTTAAAAACAAATAAATACATTTTTGTGACGATGCAACAATGACCCGATTAGGCAAGTGACAATTCTGTCAAGTTCAACTGTCCCGAAACGTGAGCGAAAGTCTTGTATCGCAGCGTGCAGCGGCTCTTGTAGCGCAGACAAGATGCGCCGATGTGAAGCCGTTTGAAGAGAAAGCCAAAGAGAGAAGATGCGTACAGCTGAATCACTCCCGCTGTTTTCAAATGACTGATTTGATCATGTGTATTGTGGATTTATTTACTCATCAAACCTACATGCTATAGGCTATTGAATAAATGTGTGAATATCCATCATTTTAAAGTCAAAAGCTGCGGGAATGAGTAAAACTATGCGATATAGGCTTAGCCTATGCGCAATCCCGCACCGAAATTCAGGACCCGATTAAACAATTCTTATAGAGTTTTGTGAACTAGATTTCCATGACTTTTCCAAAACTTCCTGGGTTTATTTATTTTTCCAAAACTTTTCCAGGCCTGGAAATTGCTGTTTTAAAATTCCATGACTTTTCCAGGTTTTTCATGACCGTACAAACCCTGATGTAAGTAAATATTTTGTCAAAGGAGTTCAGTTAACAAAGTTTGGAAATCCTGTCTAAATCAGGGGATTTTACAATACAACAAAACTAGTGCTATTGAAGGATTAAGTAAACAAGTTGGGGATATTCTCAGACCTGTCCTTTGCTGTGCGGGGGGCTCCTGTGAGGTGGACTTCTGTCTTGAGCAATGTGATACTGGTGATCGTGTTCGCTGCTCTGCAGGGAGTGCTGGGATGGTGAAAACCTGTTGAGCAGGCTTCTATAAAGCTGCTGGAGCTCGGGTAAAGTCACCTGCATCAGAAGACCTTCTACCAACAGCTCCTCCAACTCAGTACCGAGTTCTGTAACACATGACACAATCCCAAATGTTTACACCCAGACAATCCCATCCACTCGGTAAGTGTGTATTAAAACAGGTGTAATGGTCTCACCATTGAGAGGAATACATGGCTGCAGCATGTAGAAACAGCTGTTGCTCCCTACCAGTGTCTGAGATGATGCTGTTCCAGGAATATGTCTTGCCTGCATCATATAAATAGAACAGAACATGAATATAAATAGAAAAGTGTCACATTTTAATTGATTTTCCTCTACAAATTAACTATATTCAAACTTATTAAGCTCACTTTTCCATTCGGATGCTGTGTAGGAGAAACCAGCTGCACTTTGTGTTGCCAGCGCACCGTTCTCTCAATCACATATCGCAGGGCATCGCCCTCTGGAAGCCGAACCCGAATCCGCTGTAAGGAAGCAAGCAGGGGAAGCACCTTATCCAGGGGCGGCTTTTCGGAGCGCTTGCAGAGCGGGCATAACCACGGTAGCCCTGTCTGGATGTCCTTGAACCCTGGCACACAGCCGCTGTGGTAGGCGTCTCGACAGAGTTCACACTGTAGCATAGGGCCTGCTGGGACAGTGTGACACAAGCACACTGTTGGGGCCAAACAGCTGGGTGAAGACTGAAACTTTGACTCATTTGAGGTCCTCAACATAGACAGGCTCTCCAGCTCTTTCTGATGCACCTCACTGAGAGTGGCCATCTGTTTGGAGAAGAACATACAAGTCTGAGCAGATACCCAAATGTCCATCACAGACGTGAACAGTCAGGACTCAACATTAAGGATGGCTTATTCTAGAGCCCAGCAGGGGGAAAAAAAAAACCTGGGTTTCTGCAAAGATTTAAAAATCACTTTAAGTCCTGCATAAATTAAATTAATACTAATAATTAATAATGTCCATACAAAAACACAGAATCATAGCAATGTGCCAGTTTACTGTGTGACCAAAATACTAATAATACCTAGAAAAAAAAAAAGATTTATGTTTTAATTATGAAATACACTGGGACTCTTATTCTGAAATGCTTTACTTCTACCAGCTGCTCATTCGAAAAGATGAGGAAGATAAAATGGGCACGGTTACGACCATCTACAACATATTACAATATAAATACATAAGGTAATCATTATCAACTTATTAACAACAGTAAACCATTCAAATCATTCAACAAATACACAGTATATATTTTTAAATGCTCTGAAAGAGAACCATGTATATGCAACAGCTAATGTGATTAAATAAATCTGAAGTTTAATCAACACATTAGACCATATTGCAATTCCCGTTTTCCATCCCCAGATTTTTAACCTCTTTAAACAATAGACTTTTGTAATACGTTTAAAGGGGACATGAACTGCATTTTTGTTATTTTATAGTTCTCCGAGGTCCATTTATAATGTTAGTAATTTCATCAAATATTAGCAAAAACATCCTAATTTAGAAGTAACAGGCTATTTTCTATACTGTTCTTGACCCCTCTTTGAAAAACGATGTTTTGTTAAGTGTGCCACTTAAGTTCATCCACTCTTTCCCAACGTTACACAGTGTCGGACAAAAGTGGTCCAGTGCCTCAAGACTAAAAGCAATGTAACCATACAGTTTGTTTCGTATGTTTATATGAAAAATTTTAAACTTTTGTTTTGGCTGCTTGGAACCCATTATAATCAGTGATTCTGTCTACACTGGCTGCAGTGCGGTGTGATGCAACCTGACAAATCCCTGACAGTAAAGTGATGCCCTGTTCTATTTCTGACATACTCCGAGCACTTGTGCTACTTCTGACATTAAGGAGAAATGGATTTCTGACTTGATGTGACGCGACACAACAACAGTTGTTATCAGGTGTAGACAGTTAGGATAAGGAAGGCAAAGACTTTTTCCACAACATCTTGTAATCCTCAGAGCAATCTTTGTTGTTTTGTTGCTCAAGTAATCTTGTGTTTACATCTCGATCATATTTACTCACCTACTACTACATATGTGAATCAGTGGGTTGGGCTAAAGAGGCAATGAAGTAGAAGTAGGCATTGCTCTTCTGCAGAGGTGTCTTTCATTGCACTATAACATCATACTGAGCTGAGACCAAATATGAAACTCTTTTGGCAGCTTGGTTTCAAGAAAAGCTGTTTTTGGAATGACAAGGAAGTTTTGATTTCTGGCAGTATGTTTTTATAGTACATTGACCTCCCATATTTGAAAATATCAAGGAAAATTTCTCAATTCGTGACCCCTTTAAGACATTTATGGTCTTACATTTAAACGCTAAAGACAGAAATCCAGAAAATAAATACATATACACATTTTTGAGTGCTGCATTGGCAACTCAAAAGATCAAGGTTAGCAGGACTAACAAGAACCTGTTTGCTTTTCAATTTAGTTTAAAACCTAACCAAAATGTGACTTACTGCTGAAACTGTATATTTGCTTGTAGAAAGCGCCTTTTCCACATCAAAAAGGGAGTCTAGTTTTACTTCAACTTTCTTGCAGGGTACCGAGACATCCTTGGCTTTTTTAGACTTTGACTTCTGCGGTCCAGTCTCACACCTAGGACACAAAACCTTAAAAGACACAAACAGAACAATACATTTTACTCAGAAAAAATTAACACCGTTATTTACATCCTAACAAAGTACCATTGTAAATAAGTACGTACCTCGAGGAGAGAATGGGACGAGTTCCTCAACAGGAATGTTTTAGCTGCACTCTCCTTCCAGGCCTGTACCTCAGATATTAAACTTTCCAGTCGAGACAGTGGTTCCAACATTACCGGAATACTTCTGGCTCTTGACACAAGTTCAGATAGGGCAGCGAGACCAGGAATTCGGCCTCCAGCCTGTAGCAATAAATGTTTAAATGGACGGAGCGCTACTTGCACAAGGTTCTTTGTGTCCAATCATAGGGTTATGAATAATAGAGAATTACAGAAACATGAAACATACCTGAAGGGCATCTGCTTCCATTATCCACTCTCTGGCCCCGTTTACGCAGTCCTTAAGTTGAAGACAGCTGGGCAGGTATGCTGGGATGCTGTCAACTTCCTGTAGAGCTGCCTCAAGAGTCTCAATACTATGACGAGGCCTAAAATAAGCCAAAAGAACAAAACAAAAACAAATGACAGTTTACATTATTTTACAGGTTTAAAAGTTCAAGATTAAACGTCTTTCGTAAAGAACAACCATATGTAAATAGTTAAAATGCTGCTTTACTTTAAAGACGCTAAACTAACCTAGATTATTGGGTCAGTATTTTTTTTTTATTAAAGTATTTTAATATAATTATACCTTTGGAATATATTAATGTTAAATCAATGAAATAAAATCTGTTCTTTTGAACTTTCTATTCATCAAAAAATGATCACAGTTTCCACAAAAAAATATTAAGCAGCACTATACTAATACTAATATAGTCTTTGTGAGTATGAGACTTTTCAAAAACATTTAAACAAACCGTACATTGCAAAACAGTACAAAACAGTACATTGTCCAGTGCATCACCTACACTGTCCATACATTGTTCAATGTCATAATAGATTGAACCAGTTAATCTGCCAGGAAACAGCTTTAAGTCAAAATGCTAACCCGGCACATTTTTATTCCCCATCAGAACTAGCTCAACCATCCGTGTGTGTGTGTGTTTTACAACACACATGTTGGGAGAGCATGAACTGTATTAAACATAAGCCATTGAAAGAAATAAGCAAAAGAAAAATTTGCAAGCAAAATTTTACCAGAATAGTTGGCAAATTATTTTGTTGCACAATCAACATGATCATGTACACTGCCAAACCTAAACCACCAGGAGTTGCTTTCACTTCTCAGATCTTGCTGATAAAAGTGGTAGAGTTTGTATGGTGCCACAAAAGCTTGTCAGTGGAAATGGTCACCATTTACTCTCCCTTGTGTCATTCTAAAACACATATGAAATAAATTTTGTTTTAAAACAAAAGACGATTTTTTTTTAAACCAAAAAAATAATAGTGTCTTGTTTTCTCTTAATGAACTTTTGAAGCATCAAAGTTTTGGTCATCAAAGATCACCCAGATTTGCAGATGTGAAAGACTTGCAAAGGAGGGACAAAAATCTCTCAGGTTTCATTATTTCAAAAATAGTTTTACAAAAGACATGAATGAAATTATGATATGAATTTTCCTTTTTGAGTGAACTATCCATTTAAATTACATTAACATTTAACTTAAATACAAACCTAGCAGTGAGCATGTTATGGGCCTTTTCTTCCCAGTGTTCACAGACAGTGAGCAGCTCCTGCAGGCGGGCCATGGTTCTTTCCACACAGGCATGTGGTGTCAGGCCCACTCCTTGATCTATGAGTCTCCTCATGCAGTCGAGACTGAGGTCGGCTGGCTGATCGCTGGCTTCCTTAACGGCCTCCACCCAGCGGGCTTGCTCCAGCCTCTGCCTCAACACCACCAGCTGAGGCAACTCCACATCCAAGCCTGCACCTTCATCTAGGAGGCTCTGAAGAGCAGAAGAACCGGGCGTGTCCTCTGCAAGGAGATCCGAGCTCTGTTGCTGGAACTGTTCGACGCGGTTCAAAAGAGCCTGAGATGGAAGTAGAGACAGAAAATGTCAGATCAATACCTAAGACATCTGGGAGAATTGCACCAAGCATGTTGTGTGGTTGGGTACCTTTAAGAAAGGGGCCTGTCGGATGGTACAGGGCAGGTCATACAGCTGATTGACAAACGACTTCAATTCCTCCACAGTGAGCTGGTTCTGAGACTTTCCCCCACCAGAGCGATATCTATTAACACAAATACATATTCACATCCATTTAAAACTAGTGAACGTGCAAGAACCTCAGATAGCTCTACAATCCAGAGGAAAGAATAAATGTACCTTGTCTGTCTCTTGCCGTTGAGGAGTTGTTGGGCCATTGAGGTACACCTATCTGCATTTTGAATGACTTGACGCAGGTGACTTAGCAAGTCAGTCTCAGGGTATGACTTCTTCTCTGCTTCTACTACCAATGAACGAAGCTCCTCCAAATCTAATAAGAAAGCAGAATCCCTTATTTTAGTTAAAAAAGTGCTTTTAACTCAGAGACCCATTGTTGCAGAACTGCCACATTTGTACAAAGCATTTAAATAATACCTACCTTTCAATAAATATGTGAAACAATTAAACACAATAACAGATTTGGTGGGGGATGTACATATTAGCTGCTACAGCTGGCTAAAGTCTTACAAAATGGCACTAAAATGATTCAATTTTAGAATAAAGGAATCATGCCTTGAAAGTTTGAACATACATGAATAAAGTGTAATAAAATGCAACACTGGGCTTTAGGCTTCAATACTTGGGATTTCTAAGGGATAAAGACAAACACATTGCAATAACAACTCACCACTTTTATTATCTTGATCCGCTTTCAAAATCTTGTTAACTTTAGATGCCCAGTCTTCATAGGACTCAGCACGAGCCGTCAAAGCCTGGAACAATGGCTTCAGTTCAGCAAGTGTATATTTATAGCTGTGCAAGTAAAAGACAAAAAGGTTAATTTAAGAAAACCTGCTAAATTAAACCAAATTTGCATTTGATCTATCATTCATAGGTTTGTCCTATGCTTTTGCAAACACACACTTGAGCGTATAGCTTCTAGCAGGGCAAGAGCAGAGGTCCTCGATGTGATAGAGACAGACCAGCTGGTCGGGGCTACAGGGACAGGTGATGGCAGACAGGTAACAGGTGGTCCGGCACTTAGCACACTGCCTTTCCTCATCTGGCAGTAAATCATAGTCAACCTGTTGGGAGTGCCACACACCCTAGAGAACAGCATAAACACAATGGGATCAATTACTAACAGACAGACAGACAGACCTTGAATACAAACAAAGTGAACAGTAATATTTTATATATGCATTTTTTTTATTTATTTACTTGAAGTAATTAAGCCTGTAGCTCTGTTGTCTCTATTATAATATTATAGATCGATAGACAGATAAGATACATATTTTGTTGTTATTCAACCAACTTGATCATGAAGTGCAAGTTATAGCAGCTTAAATGAGCTAACCGCCATTAAAATAGCCACCCACCAGCTTATAGACTTTCTCACGGAGCATCTTCTCTTCCAGCATCATGGCACACATGTCCTTCTGGACAGCAGAGGCCAGTTCTAACTCTAGAGAGTCTGCCTTGCTGGCAATATTACAGGTCATCTCATCGTGGGAGAAAACACAGTATCTGTTGAGGGACCGGTAGTGCTGGATACACTGCCGACCAAGAGGCATCTGAAACGCAAGACCGTATTTGAGTTCATTATGCTTCATAACTTACATTGCAATATTTATGCGTATCCTACATTTAAGTCGCAATGAAACTGAAGTAGCGACAGATCACTGTATTGTGATGTAAACCCGAGTACAACAGATTAGCAATCCATTGGTGCTTGTTTGGATTTTAAGATGTGGGTGTTGCACTAAAAATGTATTTCAAGCTTGCAGTCGATTTTGAGAAACGGGCATTTTCAGTAGTATTAGCTTGAGTTGGGATGCAGATGTAAAATTACATTCCTTATCAAAAACAGTAACATCTGTAAAAACTGTAACAACCTCATTTTTATATGGTGAAATGTAATTATTTCTGACTGTTTGAGTTTTATTAAAATTAACCATTGGCCTTCCATAGTAGCATACCTTTCTCATTAAACCACACATACAGCACCTCAATACCATGGTAAAAATGTAACTATATGGTTTCTAGGTATTTGTATGAAAAACAGTAGCCTAGTCTAAATACATTTAGTATAAATGCATAAACACTATAGCTTCATCACAAAAAAATACTGTAATTATATTCCATTACTCATTTAATACATGTCTACATTAATATAATAAAATTGGCTATGAATATCCCACATTTCTGCTACAATACCACGGTGCAGTTAGTGTTACTACAGTTTTTTTTTTATTATTATATGTTTATGGGCTTTTTGTGCCTTTTTATTTTGAGAGGACAGTGGAGAGATGACAGGAAAGTATTGGGTGGAGCGAGCGGAGCAGGATCAGCAAAGGACCTCGAGGCGGGATTCGAACTGGGGTCGCTGTGAGCGCAGTTGCGCTGTCAACGCACTAACCGCGAGGCTATCGGCACCAACTATCATTAGTTTAATCGCCCAGCCCTAATGTCAACTTTAAGTGCCTTTTACCCAGTCTGCAGTGCAGAAGTTGACTGCCTCAGCAAAGTTGAAGCCCTGGTTGAAACCACTGTGATAGGCCCTCGGGAAGGTAATGACAAACTCACCAGCACACTGGTTTGTACGGTAAATCTAAAAGAAGAAAAGATGAGGTAACTGATTATGTGCACCTCACATGAATAAAAATGACTTCATATGTTATTAATGGTCTTTGTTTAGTCCACAACTCCACTCACTGGTACTCCATGCTCCATGAGAACATTTGGGTTCATGATAGTGACCAGCTGGTGGAGCAGGTCTGGCTGAGACTCAAAGAGCTCAGGGGCCAGGCTCTTCATCACATTCTCCAACTGCTCAGCAGCATAGCCAGGAGCGCCATACCACGTCTTTGGCTCTCCCCTGCAAATCAAAACAACAAAAGAGAATGGAAAAACAACCATCTCAGAGCAGGAATTGTTTTTGTCTCAGAAACTGTTAAAATGAAGCGCAAACAACCCATTTAATAAACCATGTCCAAATAGTAATATTTTAAATTCGGTCATTAATTACTCACCCTTTACTCATATTACATAATTACTCATAATTTACTCACCCTATTAATTACTCACTCCTGTCGTTTCCAAACCCGCAAGACCGTGCAATTGCAGTTGCATTGCTGTCTACGGTGGGTCAGAGAGCTTCTCAGATTTGATCAAAAATATCTTAATTTGTGTTCCGAAGATGAATGAAGGTCTTAAGGGTTTGGAACGACATGAGGACGAGTAATTAATGACAATTTTAATTTTTGGGTGAACTAACCCTTTAAATAGGTTACTTTCAATCTGGAAAGTGAGAGTGGATTACCAGTGCAGATAGTTGATGGAATAGCTCCAGTGGTCCTCAATGTGCCAGCAGAAGGAGGAGAAGCACATGCCCACATAAAGCCATGGGAGCTTCATCCCACAGATGTCTGCTGTGACATGAGTCAGCACAGATGCATCCAAAACTGGCATGTTGTTGAGGTTCCAGCCATTGCTCAGATAATCCTGGACAAAAAGAAGTGTGATTTCATGAACCTGCATTTGTAATCTTAAGATTTAGGTTTGTGCTTTCATACAGACTGCAAGAACAAAGCATTGCAGGTCATTTCTGTACCTCCTCCACTGGTGAGACCTTAAATGTGCCGTTCTTAACAGGGAAGCCGCTTCCGAAATCTTTTGAAGCAATATCAGCCCCATACTCTACAGTGACATCCTCCTCGATGGTGCTAACCAGCCTCCAAAACTCCTTCTCCACCAGCTCTGTGGGAACCATCTGCCAAACAACAAGGCCAATCACTTCATACTCCACATGGTATGCAACCATTTGTCTCACAAAAGTGTTGTTTAACAGACATACATGAACAGGCATGTTAAAGTAGTCAGACTTGAAAGAGTCAGCCATATCTCCAAAGGTGCGAAGGGTATAGTCTCTGGAGGCCTGCTCGAACCCAAAAGCCACTGGCGGTTTACCACACTCCTAAAGGGAGAATAGAGAGGCCAATGATTACAAACTAAATGCAAATGACTATTAAATACAATCCAGTACTACCAAGCGACATCACATACTAATAGACAATAGGTAATAGGTGCAGAGAACACAAACAAGAGCAGCTGTAATTTAGTTATGAAAAAAAAGCTTCTAAGAATATGACTTTGTCAAATGATTGTTTAGTGACCTCATGTAAACCTTTTCTTAAAGGGGTCATATGATGCTTTTTTAAAGATCTTTATTTGGTGTATTTGGTATAACAGAATATGTTGACTAGACTTGTGCCGGTATTCGGTAATGCGATATATCACGGTAATGAATATGCACGATATTGTTATCGTGGGCACTTCTAAATACCGTGAATAATTACATATTACAAATTATTTAGAATTTTTAATGCATTTTAAGAATACTTTTCCCATCAACTGGTCAAAATGCACAACACCGCTGTATGCTGCATGAAAGATGTGTGCGCACTCTGATGTAATCAAGCGCGGACGAGAAGCACATGGCGGAACGTGAGAGACGCTCTGGATGAAAGCGCACTTTCACTCTCTGACAGCAGATGGCGCTAAACTGCAGAAATAATAATAATAATAATAATAATAATAAAGAGTCTGCTAAATGACTAAATAAATAAATAATAATAATAATAATAATTCATTTAAATGCAGCCGTTACCCGGGAAACCCTGTAAACAAAGCAGCTGCACTGCCTTCTGTTTCTGAATCGTGTTTAAATGATTTAAACAGCCATTCAGATTTGTGTATTATGCGCACTCTGACGTAAACAAGCGCGGACGCTTAAGTATTTAGACTTAATAGGCTGTTTATTTTCAAACTTTTTTTACATTTTAATCTGGACTACAACATGCCCTAGATATTGTTTTATTATGACAGCACTTTTTTTTAAACAAAATTTCAATATCGTGATAATACCGTATACCGTAATAAAAGCATCAGCAATTAATCGCAACATGAAAACTTGATACCGGCATATCCCTAATGTTGACATGCTTTAATGTTCAAAAAACACATTATTTTTCAAATACTGTACATTATTGTAGGTCCTCTATGCCCCGCCTCTCTCAAACGCTTCGTTTTCTACAAAGTCCCTCCTTCCGACAAGCGCAGTCTGCTCTGATTGGCCAGCTGACCCAGTGCATTGTGATTGGCCGAACACCGCAAGCACTCGTCGGAAATGTAACGGGCCTTACCATAATCGCGAGCTTCATCTTTCAAAATAAATGTAAAGACAGAGCCCGAAAGGGGAACAGAGTCGCGTGACAGACACAGTGATGAAGCTGGTATGTGTTTGTGATGTGACCCCCTCTCTCTCTCTCTCTCTCGCTCACTCGCGCTCTCTCTCTCTCTCGCTCGCTATCTCTCTCGCGCTCTCTCTCTCGCTAGCTCGCTCAATTGCACATTTGGGCGGCATTATGCAAATATTTCCACATAGTGAGGTAGATATGTGGGGGCGTGTTAGAACGAGCCGTTTTAGGGGGGCGTGGCAGAGTCTTAACTCTGATAAAGTATATCTCTTTGGTTTTGAGACTTTAGTCTTTGCAACTTCAGGGATCTTATCTATGCACAATCAGCTTGTAACACGCCAAAGAGAAAGGAAAACTTGAAATCGCATCATATGACCCCTTTAAATAAATACAAAGACATCAGTTTGCAAATGCAGTCGGGAGTGGCTCACCTGAGCCAGGCACTTGGGGCATCTCCAGTCACCTTTGGGGACGTCGTGGAGAGGTGGGATCAGACAGAAGGTGTGATAACTGTCGTCACACCCATCACAAAGCAAGAGTCTATCTTCGTCACCTCCACCCCCACATACCAAGCATATGTACTGCTCCACCTGTGGGGGAAAAAAAAAGCAAAAACATTGCCATAAAGGAACTCACTACATACTTTCTGTTGTGTGAAAACCAAATGGTCCTCTGACCTCCGCCCTCACCTTTGATTTTTCACCTTCAACTTGCTGCTCAATGGGTTCTTCTTTCACCTGCATTGGGATTTTCTTTACTGGAAGAAATTTATAAAAGTAAATAAGTTTGAAATTCCACACTGCATTGAGATTAAAATTTGGAAGTACACTACCATCCAATAGTTTGGGGTTGGTAAATTGTTTTTTAATGTTTTGAGTAGTAGCAGTTATTTATTTGTATTGCCATGCCTAAGGCAAAAACTGTGCTGGGATAATACAATAAGTAACATAAACACAAAATAAAACCAAGCAAACACAAAAACACAGCAGCTAAAATTATACAAGTTTTTTTTTAATTAACATATGATTAAAAAAAATCAAATCTTTTCTGGTAAAATCTTACTAAAGTCCTGAGTGAGCGTACTTCATAAAAAAAAAGTTTTCTACTTGCATTTGAATCGGGACATTCCAATAAAATATGTTTCATGGAAAGGGGGGTCTTGCAGAAGAGTTGGGTCTTCGCCTTTAAGCAAAAAGGCATGGGTCAATGACCTATACGACATCTCGTAAACACCACTTGATCAAATCTTGTTTTAAAGGGGTGGTTCACTGTTTTTTTTCTAGGCTTGATTGTGTTTATGGGGTGCAGTCTAACATGTGTTAATG